CAATCGGTGGACAATGGTATTAAATCCCAGAGAGGGGAAATAACTTGCTCTAATAGAAATATCTAACATGAGAGACAGCTCACAACATGTCAAGGCCTAGTTTCAATGTTCCATGTGGATTAACTCATTTAATTCTCCCAAAGTCTGTATGAAGTATGAGAGTCCCCAGCCCCATTTAGAGATGGAGGAGTTGAAGCTTGGAGAGAGAAATAACTCACCCCACTTACCCAGTTAGTAAAGGGCAGAGCTGGGATTCCAACCCAAGCAGCCTAGCTCCCAGTGGGTCCTCACAAGGATTTTCTTATACTGCCAGCTCCAAGCACAGAAGCAAATCAACCACGGAGCCAAGTCTAAAACCCTGGTAATAACCCAAACCTAACCTTCTGTTCTTTCCACCATTTCACTCTTTACTCAAATAGACTCAGCAGGCTCTCCCCGCCGAGCAGTGGCCCTTGCTGGTCCCTCTGTCTGAATGTCCTGCTCTTAGCTTTGCACAGAGCCTGCCTCTTCAATTGCTTTTCTGACCACCCCAAACAAAATAGCAACATGCTCGCATTCTCTGTAACCTTGGCACGTCTACTCCCTACTCTGTTTCATTCACTGACAACTGTATCACCACCCACCATACTATTGCTATATTTACTCTTTTTGTTTGTTTCTGTTTTGTTTAGTGCCTTCTACTAAAATGCAAGCTTCACAAAGAGAAACACCTTTGCTTTCTTCCATGATAATATGTCCAGTGCCTGGCACATATAAACATTTGGTAAACATTTAATGAATAACTAACTGAATAAACAAATGGGCAAATCATAAATAAATAAATTATATGTGCAAAGAACTCAGACACTCTGTGCCATGCATCAAAAGCTCTACCTGATAGCTGTTACTGAGATGCTTGCCGAGACATCAAAATCCGGTTTAAATTCCACCTCCTTCAGGAAACCTTCCAAATCTTTCCACTAACCGAGTTACTGGCTGAGAGCTGAGTCACTCCAGGAATTTTCTATTAAGCTGTAGGAACTTCTGAAAAGGAAGATGTAATACATCAACTATCAGCAATTAACACTTTTGAATATACTAAACAATACATGTACAACATTTTATAGATAACAGATCTGAACTAAAACGCAGCTAGCATGGAGTGATACAAAGAACATGCCAATCATAGTGCTAGGTACTTTGCATGCTGTACTAATTGCCAAATATTCCCAGCTTCGTGCCTTCCTGGCACCTGTGATAATTGTACTTCCCAGACTCTTCCTGGTTGGGTGGTACCATGTGACCAGTTCTAGCCAATCAGACATGAGCAAACCAGCTGCCCATTTAAAAGTGCTAATGAGACATCCTTCAGAGCTCTCTTTTCCTTTTGGCTCAGCCAACCAGTGACATTCAAGAAGTCCGAATCCCTGAAGACCCCCATGTCCCCAGTCTTATCCCAGCTGAACTGCACAGCAATCTTTTGAGGCAACCTGGCTATCATTGTTCTACAGATAAAGGAAAGGGCTGTGAGATAAAAAATGATTTGTCCAAGTCACACAGATAGTAAGTGACAGTCAGGAGTGGAGGACAGATCTGATGTTAGAACCTGTACCTTTTACTTACTTGTACTCTCTCTCCCAATCTGACAGAATAAAAATAAAGAATAGGACTTTATGGGAATAGCATCTGCTTCACAGAAAACAGAGGCTTTGTTGGACACCACAGCTTTGGGCTGTTGGGGGTTAAGAAGCATCAGTAGGACACTGGGATGATGGGAAATGACTATGAAAGCTGGTGGTGTAAGGGAGGAAGTGCCACTGACAACATTCTCCCAGTTTGTTTTCACTTGTTAGAGAGTTAGAATCCTTGGTCTTTGGTTTGATTCCTTCTCACTGCACACTCATGAATCAGGAAGTCAAGACATACAGAGTGAGCTCTTCCCGGGGTGAGCACTGTGCTGAGGGCATCTTGATGGACCCAGCACTCACAGCCCCACTTTCAGGGACCTGCAGTCTGTTTAGCTAACCCCGCTTCTGTTTTAGGCTTTTAAACTTCTGTGTGATTCCATTCCTGGTCCACCCAAAGTTCTACTTGTTCATTTGGTTGTTAAGTATAGAGATGGGAAATTGCATCTGAAAATACGATACAGAGCTGTGTTACATATGTGAACATGGGGGATTGGGACTGTCTGTCTCTAGTCTCATATTTCATTTCTAAAGGAGGGAAGGTATAAATGTATTTCCACCCACTTGGAGATTCATTACGAGAAAGGGGAAGAGAATTGGACTCTGAAAAGGAGCCACTACAAATACTGTAACCAAACAGAATCTGCCAGGCTAGAGGGAACTGCACCTCCTCACTGCACAAGGTTAACTGATGCGGGTGAAACTTCTGAAGAAATCAAAATGTTGTTATTTTGATTATACTGTTAGCTATTTCTTTCTTGAGATTCTAAATGAATTTTGTAAATGCCTTGTTGGTCCATTCCTACATCTCTGCTTCCAGAACCCAAGAGCAAGTTCTCTGGATCACGTTGGCTCCTCTGCTGCTTCCTCAGAAAAAGAGAAGGTACTTGGTGCCAAAGAAAAGACAGAGGCTGGGAAGGAGGAGGAAGTTGGCAGAAGGAAGAAAGAGGCACAAGAAAGAGAGAAGGGGAGGCTAAAAGCAAGAGGTAAGAACACATCTCAATTCTTTAGTTCTGCTTAAGGACTCACTGAAGCATTGCATTTGTTTGGGAGAGCAAATGAGATGTGACGTGTTATAGAAAGTGGATCTTAAAACTCTTACTATAAATAACCCATAATAAGTAAAACTTTTGCTAGGCAAGAAAAAAGATATCTAAAGAGAAAAGAGACCCTGACTACATAGAACAGATCACTACTGCAGAAGCGGGAAGGGCCAAATCATTCTCATGCTTAGCATGAATTTACCCCTCTCTAAGACGATTAACCGTCTGAGTTTGTCTGAGAACTGCTTTAGTTTTAGTGGTGAAAGTCTTGGATCCCCAGCAACCCACTCAGCCCCTAGCAAACCAGGATAGTAGGTCACCCTACCCCTGCCTGAAATGCCCTCCTCACATGCCGCCCCTCCCACCTCACCTCTTAGTGAAGGTGTCCAACCGCAACTTTAAACACAGTCTCCTCCACAGCGCGCTTCATGATCCTGAAGCAGAACTCCTTCTTGTCTCTGTGTGTTCCATGGGGCCTTTTACATAACCACAATAGCACTTCCTCATTGTATGCTGTTTTCCACTAATGTGTTTCTCTCTGATGCAGTATAAACTCTTTAAAAGTAATAATCTCATATCTGGATCTCTGGTACCCAAACAAACATTTTCTGATTATGTGAATGAATAAATGAAGGAGCACAGGAAGTTTGAGAAAACCATATGTATTCACCACTCAATATCAAACATTACTTGAGATGTTCCCACCTGCACCAAACTACCTGGGCGTGATAGCAAATTCTGAAGGTCTGGATCAGAAACAGACAAACAGGAATGCCTGGAAGGCAGGAGCCTCCCACAGAAAAATTTTCACCTGCTGCTAATATGCTACACATAGTTTCCACCATTAAAAATGTATTCTTTGGGGTTAAGCCAAATTTCTCCTTTGCATAGGACCTTCCCAGACTATTGTTTAAAATCTTATTTTGCTGTTCACCCAGGTGACTGGCTTAGCATTCATAGCGATCAAGCCAGCCTTGAGGTCTTGCTCAAGTAGCCTAAGGTACCTGGCAACATGGAAATGGCTACATTTCTAGGTGATAAATACCTCAATCCTAAGGATTAGAATGTTCTCTTGGTATTCTGTTTTTAAGTGGTTTGATCCCAAAAGAACCCAGAGCTTTCCTATTATGTTTTGCTTATAATTGGGCTTGGAGGAGGACTGGGTCCCATCTTCTCATGAAGGCTAAGTTGGTAAGAATTTGTTGCTGTGCTGCATAGAGCCCAAACTACCTACAACTATATCTACCATAGGTTCTGGGAGCTAAGTGGCTTCCCTAAGCTTGGACTTAAAGTGTTCTGTGAGAAGTGTGTTGCTTTCTGGAAGTGGGTGGAAGGTGGAGGGGCGGGAACCATGTTGGGCACATTTATGAAGAGGGAGTGTGGGACTCTGCAAGTGTTGACAATGAAAGGGCCTGGAGGCCGGGCGCGGTGGCTCACGCCTGTAATCCCAGTACTTTGGGAGGCCGAGGTGGGTGGATCACGAGGTCAAGAGATCGAAACCATCCTGGTCAACATGGTGAAACCCCGTCTCTACTAAAAACACAAAAAATCAGCTGGGCATGGTGGTGCGTGCCTGTAATCCCAG